TATATATACAAAATGATGAACAAACATTATCGCTGTTGCTTCGGTTTCGAACACTGAACGGAACCTGGAAACCTGATCGCGCTTAAACGGCTATCAGCGGTAAGCGTACATATCATTGAGGTTTCGACTTGTTCATACAGCGCGATACCTACTCCGCACTGACCTAGTTAGCGAGTTTTATCGTTTCCTGACGTGGGAACGAAATTTCCCAATGACAAACCAGGTGCACTCAAGTAACTTACACTACATCTATTCTGAATTGGCTTCTCAGACACCCTGCAAATGTGGGTTAGAGGGGTGGGGTGGGGGTGGGGGTGGGGGTCATCGAACGCACTAGACAAGCTAGTTAGTCAACTTGCTTGATAGCCCTCATCTTGGATAGGTGTACAAGCTAATATGCCACTTTAAAGACCAGCCTCTTCATTATGAACCTAACAATCCACTAACTCAAAGTTGTCCTCTTTAGTAGATACTCTTACATCTGTATAAAGTTTTGCAATCTTTCCGTTTGATGTACGGGCGCTGGCTTTTGAGCGATGTAAGTTTCAATCACCGAACACCACCTTAGAAGTTTTGCTTCTCTAGTGCCCAGGACTTAAGTTGTCTGCAGCCACCCCTGTTCTGATTTCACCTGACATGCTATAATCTCTCTGTGATGAATTCGTGTGTATCCGCTCTGTTAACACTAGATGTGTATTTCATGTTTTCTTTTCTTCATAAATGATCCTTGGAAGTATGAGAACTTTAATCCTTCCGAAGATGGCAATTAAATTGGCATGTACTGTAATACATAACAAGAAACAAGAGATCTTTTTTGTATTTTTTTCTCTCTGTTGATTGAGGTTTGTTTTCACTTCACACCTTACTGCTAGTAACTGTAGAAAAGGTAAATTTCGTAATCACCTGGACTTGTGCTGGTGCCGATTAGTTCTATCATGTGAACCTACAATCTGAATTTTTGTGGACTTGGAGAGACGAACAGAATGAAAAATTCGTGACATTAGATGGGACGACAGCTTTGCTGTCCGCCACCCAAGTTGGTTGAAAATGACAGGCTGTTGACCTCAAACCCTGAGAACCACGTGCACCAGCAACAAAAACGTGGTTGACTCAACCAATCACTTCCCTGAATTAATGTATGGTTCTTATTGGATTGTACCGACACTCCCTCCTCAATTTAAGGATCTGTTTTGGCTCGAACGTATCAATAAGGACCGTCACACCAAATCCTGCTCTCCGATATCGGAAACAGTTCTCGAATGGGTCATGGATCGATTTGAGAAGGAAGCCAGGTTCCGTCTGGTCGCTGCAAACGGAACTGTCCCGTCGGATGAAGCCTCTGCTGCTGCTGGTTTGGGCCAATCTGGCATCGATGAAGATGCTGTCTGTGCCGTGTGTCAAGACGGGACGTGTGAAAATACAAATGTGATTCTATTCTGTGACGTTTGTAATCTGGCTGTTCATCAGGTAAATTTCTTTGGCGATTGTGTTGTTGAAGTATGTCAAGTTTACTTTATTCAATTTGTATTTGTACAGACTTTTGCCTGAACAACTGTCCGCATTTCATTCGAAAATTACACATCATACGAACATTTAACGTCCAAGATTGCTGAGAAATTCAGAAAAAACGTACCATCGGTGTGCAACGATTCTAGAGAGATAGGGAACTTGAGAATGTCTTTAGAGGTTAAGGTGAGAGGGTAATAGACGATATATAGAACGCGTGAATGAATGAGAGCGGCATCTGGATAGATCGCCATGTAAAAGATGAGTGGGATCAGAGAGGTTTTTCTGTGCAAATGTTTCAAATACGGACAAGTAAAGTTCATAAAAGTTTTTGGATAGATCATCAACGGGTATAAAAGACACGACTGACAATCGATAAAACGCGACGAAGAATTTTGAAGCCCTTCTTAACTAGCCCATCAAAACCGCCGGGGAACAATAAAGACGAATGGGAAAAAATGGATAAGAAGGCGAAAAGTGATTTTTCGTTTGGCGTTGAAAAGATAACCTACGAAGTTTCTTTACACAATTGTAAGTATGGGATAACCACTTCAAGTTTGTGTCATTGGCAACTCCTAGGCACTTCTTTTTTATTACATACCATAGTGGGGTAAACAGCAGACAAGGTAGTAGCGAGGGCTCGCTATTCAGTGATGGAAACCGGTAACCTAAGCCCCGGGACTTGGAGTGGTGAACCACAAGGTCCCGCTAGGTTAGGCGTGGTACTGAACCGGAATCTACCCTAGAATATCCGTGTTTAGGATCAACGAGTCAAGAGAGTAAACAGACTGAGAGAGAGGGTAAAAGCGCATTCGAAGCACGTGAATAAATTAAGAGAGTGCAGAAAGAACGAAAACTTCAAGGATATGGGATAAATTTCTGGAGCAATTTAGGATGTCCTCTGGCACAGAACTGGCTCAGGAAAGGGCTACGTCGTTGGTGTATCTGAATGATTGAGCTGGAGAACTCGCTCACAGAAAGTACCGCTCCGTGGAGCACTCCCGAATTGTACACGAGCGGTTTACTTCAATCAGTTGAGATGTTCGTAGCCGTCGGCTGACTGTTATCTGCTGAGGCCCATAAAAAAAGAAAGGTGTGCACACTGAGGACCTCGATTTTCAGTCAAATTTGACTTTTTTGTTGCATTTTTTACTTTCATTCGCCTTATTGAAAACAAATGCACAACTCGTGCTCTGCACACGGTATGGTTATTTTTTAGATAGATTATTACTTTGTAACCATGATTTACAGTAGGAGGGATTATTCCTATTGTCTGAAGATCTGTTGAACAAAATGCGAGAGCGGTGTTGATCCTTTGTTAGAAAAGCAGGAAGGTTATAAGAAAGAGTGAGAGCCCTGCAAATCTTCGCGGTTCTTGGAAATAGAGGTGCACTATAGCCAGAAATGCAATAGGCGAGGATAATCACATTGTATGGTCGGAGGTAGGTGTCTAGGGTTGTTGCCGGTCATCCTTCCCTTACACCTCGCGAAATGCTCCCATATGACCAAGCGTCTCGAATAGCTTCTGGTGAGGAAGCCCTACTCACTGCCTTCTCGTGGTGGAGGTTTTTCCCCAACAGAGTGAGAGGACGAAAAGCCGACATGCGGAGCTATAACCGAGTTAATGTACCACTGGTATTTCGTCTAGGGGAGTTGATCAAAAACCCCGGTGTCAGTGGTCACCGGCTCGATTGGGCTTCGAGGTGTATTGGGAACCTTGGACCTCGTCCAAAGGGCGATGAACTGGACACCGGCCCCCAGTGGATTGCGGTTTTCCAACATCACCCCGCTGCCTTACGGGTCAGGCTTTGGCTAGCTTAAGACTCTGTGGGCAACCTGGCAGTAGTCAGGCTGCATGCAAATCATAGAGCGTTTTTCTTTTTCATAAAGATTTTTGTACCATGATTTGTTTGACACAGTCAGACGTGTGCTAAATATGTAATGCACGTGGCAAAGACTAGTTGTTGCTTGCTTGTTGGTTTTGCAGGTAAACAACAAAAGTCGGAATCGCAGATGTTCATTCCTCCGAACAAAACGCATGATAGAAGCAACATAGACGGTAAAGGAAATTCACGGCCATGCAGGTGGTCAGTGACTGCACAGAGAAAGTCAGCTTTGTATAATTGATAAGACGGGTGGCTTCAGGTTTGGCACAATCAAGAAGAGACTGGGAAATGAATGTTATCTCACCCAAAAACATGATCGTGTTGCTTACAAAAGGATAATAATTGAAAAGTGTGAGAGTCAGGTACAAAAATAAAACCTATATCTTTTGGCGTAAGTAAAACAAGGCTTCTTGTGTGTGGAGTTCAGGAGCGAGAAAAAGAATATCAAAACCCGAGAAGACAAGGGCTGTAACTAAGAGATAAAATTCCATAATTGACGGATAGAACATTAAGCAGCCTAAGGTGTTTCCTAGTATGCAGTTCGCTCAACCCTGGCTGTTGTTAGGCTGAGGTCGGAATTCATTGCGGGAGATGCAGCGTAAGAAGACGTGTGGGATAAAAGAATGATGAAGTTACATCACCTGCAAACGCGTGGATAAGGCTGGAAATGGCAGAAGTATATAACAAATAGGAATGGCATGGGTGAGAGAACACAAGGAACACTGGCAGGCAAATAGTGTGTATGCCTGAGATAGCCCCGTCGGCTGGTGTCGCGATAGATCGCTCGTTGAGGAAATGACAGATATACTATATCAGCTCCGAAACATTGGTAAGTCAGTCGACAAACCTGTGCCACACTTAATTAGTCAGGTATTCAGGACTGCTGTCGTGATTTTTCATCACAGGATATGTGAGACGTTCGCCAGTAAGTTATAACTCATTGAACGTTCTTTATCCCTAGGTTTGCCCACGGAGAAATGGTATAAATGAGGTTACCGCTTTCTGTTGCCCTTTTTTATTACACCCTTGTTTGATGAACAGCAGGAGGGATAAAGCCATAATCACGAGGCAACATAAGTCCCGAAACTTGAAGTGGTTAACTTCATAAGGCCCCACTAGCGGGAGGTGGTGGCGCGTTGGTAACATCAAAGTATCACCCCGGATGAAGTGTGTTCGAAGCCCACCACCACCGTCAGACTTTCCCTATTGTTTGTTGTATGACTTTGATTGACCCCGTCCCTCTTCCCGAAATTCGTATCATTGTGTATTCAATAAAATGAAGTATATATCCGGGTGACAGCGAGGCTGTCTAACACCAAAGTTCGGTGCTCGCCCTGGCGTTCGAACCACGGACCCTAGGACACATTAGCTGGACCGTCACGTGTACTTTCTCCTCGGTTATTCTTTCTACCCTTTCTGAGTTCAATTTTCAAAATTCCATAAATGTCCCAGAGTTCGGGATTTTATCCTATCAATCAAATATTACATATCGCAAAATGTGTTTCCCTTGAAACGGAATGCGTAGAAAAAAGGCTGTGAAGTCAAAAAGTATTGCGTGAAAATGATGACTGATGCTCAGAGAATGCCACCGACTAAGGATGACGAGAACGGACGAATTAAGGTTCGAACATTTACGCATGCACTTATGAGTTTGATTCCCTCCACCGGACGTTGTGTCTGCTGGCCTATGTTCAGCGCGCACAGTTATCTGACTTGTGGTACATGATTTCACCTCGAGTTTATTCAACATCTTCAATCGGATTGTGCTAGGGGTTAAATGACTGTCGATATTTCCTAACTTTTCCATGGTTTACGTTTTTCAAACGAGAGCCATGAGGGACCAGTAAAACTGAAAACAGTTACACTTAGGTCGTTGAGGACCGTATTCGATGGCATCGGTTTAACAGAACGTGATGTATTTTTCGTTCCAAAATTATGATATTTCGGTAATGCTACTTTTGTTGTCTATTTAATCTCGGGCGTGTTCGTCTCCAATTGGATTTCTCTGTTTCGATCAGCCCAAGTCGCGTTCAACTTCCTAGCAGATGTGATTTTACAAATAATTCTGACCTTGAGCAAGAATAACAGTGTTGTGCCGGATAACAATTTATCTGTTCTGCGATACACAGGTAACGTTGTACTGCTGAGTGAAGATCCAGATTAGCTGTAATTGGCTATGTTCGGCCTGCGTCTTGCACCTTCAAACTGTACACTGCTGAATAACACTGATTTGGTCTCAATTTTTACCAACCGGGGAGTCAATAGAGAAAGTATCCAAATTTCGGTACTCGGATTGTCACATCTTCCTTGTTGGACAGTTCGCGGATCAAGTTGCAGCACGCACACAATGGGCTCGCATGGCGTTTGCCACCTCGAGATATGCTTCGCATCGTCTTGGCATCCGACTGTTCGAGAATAGTCAAGTGTGTGCCGCATTAGTTCGGCCGGTTCTCCTGCACGATGCAAAGACACGGTCGGTACGGGAGGCCGATAAAGACGGAGTATTTCTGTTAGCTATTCGCTCCGCATTGCGCGAGTCTGTTGTGGCAACCGTACAGGCACTGCTGAGGATAGGGGCACATTTTTAGACAATCGGGGTCGCGCATTGGAGCGAGTGCTCACCCTGAATATATTACATTGGTAGGCCCGTGTCACCAGGTTTCCTCAGCGTACGATGCAAGCCAGCGCAGTGATTGGGTTGAAGAATTATAAAGGTGGTCAGAGTAAGAACTGGAATGACTGTATGAAAACGCTAATCCGGGCTCGCAGTCATATAGGTCGTTTTACATTTCCTGGGTGACACTGGGTGACATGTCTAAGTGATGCAAACAGTGACGGTCGTGCAGCTTCCCACTTTCCACCCCAATCTAGGCTAGTTTTTACTATGCAGATTAGAAGTTAATGACTGTTCTCTGGTCAACTGAATGAACTTTGGTGAACCCCACTCAATAAATGAGATAGGAGACTACAAAGCGTTACCCCCCCCCCCNCCCCCCCACACACACACACGACACCTGTGGCGACGACATGACGTTTCACTGAAGTTAAAAAGTCGCGAATACTGCGTCACTGTACGATCAGTTCTGCTTAACGGCTGTGACCTTGAATTTGCGGGTAGAAAACATCCGTCGTTTAGCATTTTTCGACAATCGATGC